ATGCAGACGGAGCCTGATGCCGGGGGCCAGGTGGAGACCTGGTGCAGCGTGCGGCCCACAGTCATCCTCAGGGACACCGCCATCCGCTCGGACGGCCCCCACCACGGCCGCCGCCTTGACTCTGCCCTCTCTGAGTCCCCCAAGACGGCCTTGCTACTGGCCCTCAGCCGACCCCGGCCCCCTATTACGCGCTCCCAGAGCCACCTGACCTTGTGGGGTACGTGGGGGATGGGTGGCTGCTGCTCCCTCCACAGCCTCTGGTCCAAAACCTGCCTCACACCCTGTCCTGGGCTCAACCCTCCCTTTGCCCCAGGCCTTGACGCAGCCCCTGCCCAACCCAAGCTCCAGGCTGCTCAGACCCTGCTGTGGGCTCCACTTTAAATTAGTCCTGGACCCCATACTCACCCTTAGTCTCTGCGCCTGTTCCCCGAACCAGCCCTTACCCCAGCCCCTGGATCCTGGAGTTCCCAGGCCTGTTTACACACACAGTCGCTCACACTCACATGCACGCATGTGTGCCCTTCTCCAACTGGGCCTCAATGGAGATTCCTTACATAGCCACAGCTGTGCGGTGGGGGAAAGGGTCAGAAAGTCGGAAGAGGAACCGCACTCCCACCCCCGCACAGCTGCAGATCCTGTCTGCCCTCTCCTCTCCCTTCTCTCTGCCCCTCTCCACACCCCTGCCCCTCGTCCTTCCCTTCTGCCCATCCCTCCAGCACCCCGGTTGCTCCCTCCTGTCTGCAGAGGAGAAGAAGCAGCGGAAGAAGGAGAAGTCGGGGTCCCCTGGGGAGAAGGGTGCCCTGCAGCGCTCCAAGACGCTGATGAACCTCTTCTTCAAGGGAGGGCGTCAGGGGAGGCTAGCAGGGGACGGGTGCAGAGAGGCCTGGACACTGGACAGCGGGATCCCGGCCAAAGCTTGCCCTCACCTGGACATAGAGAAAGGTAAGTAGTGGGTTGATCAAACAGGAAGACAAGGTCAAGTCCACTAGCTTCGGCATCCAGCAGTTCTGAGTTGAGATCCCACTCGGCCTTTTACCAGCTGAGTCCCCACTCAGCTCCTGAGAGCCTGAGTTTTCTCATGAGTAAAATGGGGGTAATAATACTTACTTATTTTTCTTTCTTTCTTTCTTTATTATTATTATTACCTTTTGAAATGGAGTTTTGCTCTTGTTGCCCAGGCTGGAGTGTAATGGCACAATCTCAGCTCACTGCAACCTCCCCCTCCCAGGTTCAAGTGATTCTCCTGCCTCAGCCTCCCAAGTAGCTGGGATTACAGGCATGTGCCATCATGCCCGGCTAATTTTGTATTTTTAGTAGAGAGGGCGTTTCACCATGTTGGTCAGGCTGGCTGGTCTCAAACTCCAGACTTCGTGTGATCCACCTGCCTCAGCCTCCCAAAGTGCTGGGATTATAGGCATGAGCCACCACACCCAGCCAGTAATACCTATTTCTTTAAGAGTAGTGGGGAGCAAGTGAATTAGTGTATGTGAATCATTTAGTACGTTGTCTGGCATACAGAAGGTGCTCAGAAAATGTAGTGGTCATTGTTATACTGCCTCATCTCCCCATTTTATAGAAAGGAAAACTGATGAATCATAGCACAGCAAGGACGTGGGAGAGCTCTGATCAGATCCCTGTGCTCTTGGTGGTGGCAGCGGTAGAGCACACTTTTCCTAGGGCATTTGGCTTCACGTCCCCTGGTCAGAGTTCTGTTTGCTCAATTCAGTTCTAGAAGCATCCTTGAGCAAAGCCATTTCTAGATCAGAGCCCAGGCCTAGCCCAGGCTGTACCCATGTCAGGGTCTGCCAAAGGATACTCACAAGAGGCCCTCTCATCCCTCTGGTGAGTTTCAGAGACTAGACCAAGGGTGGATGAGTTAAGACTCTTGGAGTTGCACGTGACAGAAACTCAACTCACACTAGCTTTAGAAAACATTTCTTCTAGGCTTAGTGGCACACGTCTGTAATCCCAACTATTTTGTTTTGTTTTTTTGAGGCAGGGTCTTGCGCTGTCTCCCAGGCTGGAGTGCAGTAGTGTGATCTCGGCTCACTGCAACCTCCACCTCCCGCACTCAAGCGATCCTTCCACCTCAGCCTCCCAAAGTGCTGGTATGACAGGTGTGCATCACCATGCCCAGCTAATTTTTTTTTGTGTGTGTATTTTTTTGCAGAGATGGGGGTTTCACCATGTTGCCCAGGCTAGTCTCAAACTCCTGGACTCAAGCTATCTACCCGCCTCAGCCTCCCAAAGTGCTAGGACTACAGGCATGAGCTAACGCACCTGGCCAATCCCAACTACTCTGGAAGCTGAAGCAGCAAGATCACTTGAGCCCAGGAGTTTAAGACGAGCCTGGGCAACATAGCAAGACCCCCATCTCTAAAGAAAAAAAAAAGTAAAAGAAAAATAAAGCACATCTTGGCTCAGCTACTGATTTAAGCTGGGTCTAAACATCTGAGCAACATCATCAGACATCTGTCCCCCTCCATCTCCCCGCTCCATCTCTCCCGTGAGTTGGCTTCACTGTTGTGGGCTTTGCCGACTTGGGGGTAAGATGGCCTCTATTGCATAGCAACCCCAGGAGAAAGTGCTTCTCCTTAAATAGTTGCAGCTGAAGTCCCAGGGTAGGCTGTCCCTGGCCCAGCTGAGATCCTGTGCCATGCAGAATAAATCGCTATGATGTGGGAGAGAAAGTGCTTTTGTTAGCCAGCCTGGGTCGTATACCCACCCTGGAGTACATGGGCTAAGAACAGAGCGGGGTGGGTCCCCAGGAGAAAATCAGGGTGCTGTTTTCAGAAGAGAGGGGTGGATGTCGGATCAACAAAACAACCAGAGGATGAGGAGCTGGACCCTGCTTCGCCCTGGGGTGGGAAGTTCTGGGGTCTCAAGGTGATTGTACCATGGGAGAGATAATCCCTTCCAATTAGGGCTGCCTGGCCCCTCTCCATCTCTCTTCCCACAGCTCCCAAGGCCCTGCCCTCTGCTGGTTCTCCTCCCACCTCTCTGGCTACTCCTCTATCTCCTTCCAAGGCTCCTCTTTTTCCCTCCGTCCCCTGAAGGTGGGTACTTCTCCGAGCTCTGTCCCTGAGGTTCTTCCCTTCATCCATTTGCTTCCAAGTGAATTTGCATAAGCAGAGCTCAGACTGCACCCTCTCTTGATCCAAAACCGTCCTGACTCCCCATTGCCTATGAAGGAAGTCCATAGCCTGAGCATTGCCTTCAAGTCCCTCAGGGCCAAGCCTCTTGCCTCCCCATTACACCTACTTCCAGTCTGAATTTTCCATTCCAGCTTGTCCTGAGCCCTCCTGACCCCCATTTTCAGACTGGGGGCCAAGACCTGCAGCTGAGCCTCTTTCTTCTTCATAGCAGGGGGCGTGGGCCCGGTGCAGAAGTTTGTCACCTGGAGACTGAGACGCGGTAATTCATGCATCCCTTTACCAAGGCCTGGTTTACAGTAGAGTGGCAGATGAGGGTGCATGCTGGGGGCCAGCTAAGTGGCTTTGGACTAAACTCAGTCAGGGTCAAGCATGGGGGATCAGGCAACTAGACTAGTACGTATTGGGGGCAGCTAAAAGAATTGGACTAAGCTTACTAGGAAAGATAGGGTGGCAGACAGATATTGGTGTGCATTTTAGGAGCTTGTGTTGGGACTCCCAAAGATATATTTGTGGGTGATGAGGGAGCCTGTGCTGGGGCTCCAGTGGGGAACAGACTACTATGATGGTGCATGTTCAGGGGGCCCTGGGGGCACTGGGCTAAGACCCCATTAAGAAACAGACTGGTATAGGGGTCCATGTTGGGGCTGAGGGGCTGGGGTTTGTGCTGTATTGGTGGGCAGGTTGCTGTGGGCAACCACAGTGGGAGCATATAGGCTAGGCTAGGATCCTGCCCCCAGGCACCTGGGCTCTCAGCTGGCCAGTTACGGGGCCCAACCCTGCTGAGGGAAGCCCCTCTCCCCTCCCCTGATGACTCCTGGCTCCTTATCACGCCCTTTGGCTCCTGCCCTGCAGACCGGGAGAGGGGCCGGGCCCTGCTGTCTGCCAGGTCCAGGAGTCCCTGCAGCCAGCTGCCCAATGTGGATGAGCAGGTTCAGGCCTGGGAGAGCCGGCGGCCCCTCATTCAGGACCTGGCCCAAAGGCTGCTGACTGATGATGAGGTGCTGGCTGTCACCCGCCACTGCTCCCGGGTAAGCCTCCATCCTGCCTGCAGCCTTGGCACGCGGTCCTTCGGTCACCCAGCCTATCATTCACTCAGGCCACTGTCCACTGACCAGTGTCTGGGCTTGATGCCAGGAGGCTAGTGGTCGGTAAAATCAGAAGTCACCCCTGTCTCACACACACACACATATCTGCCAGCTCACAGGAAGAAGAGCTAGACAATCACTAGAACCAAAACACCCATGGTGATGAGTCACACGAAGAGCTGTGAAGAAAAAGAACATGAGAGGGTAAACCAAGAGACACATATTAGATGGTGTGGGCTGGGAGGCGCTCCCAGAGGAGGTGGTATTTAAGCTGAGAAGAGAAGGAGAGGACACTTTTCCCGAGTGGGGAAAGTGAGTCCCTGCAGTCACCTGCCTCTGCCCTCTCTGAGCCTCCATCCTTCCCTGCATGCCACCCTCTGCTCCTGGGTCACCCAGCACGCCTGGCCTCATGCCAGGTCCTTTCCCCTGTTGCCCAAGTAAGTAATCCTTTGCCTCCCCTACACACCACACCTCAACCCCTGCCCCCCAACACCTAAACCGTTGTTCTCTGTTCCCTTCCACTTCAAAAAGAGCCAGAGGGCCCCAGGGTGGGGAGAGAGTCAGATTTGAAGGAGTCTCTGGGGCCCACCTGCTGGGGAGGCTGTGGGGCACAGCTCACTCCCTCCAGGACTGGCAGGTCCTTTTCTGTCCCTGTCTCAGGAAGACCTGGGTGTGTACGCTGGGCTCCTTGTGAGGAGTCTGCACACTGTGTGTGAGGGCGAGCTGGGAGGTCTTGGAAAATTGTTTGTGGATTCCCTCACCCTTCACCTTGCTCAGAGTGGGGCTGTGTTGTATGTCTGTGTGGTGTGTGCACTGGCGTGTCTGTGGGGTACCTGGTTTGTGTTGATATGACTGCACGGTTGTGTGTGTGTGTGTGCATGTGAGCAAGCAGGCGTCTGGCTAGCGTGTGTGTGTGTGTGTCCATGCATTGTCACCTGGAGACTGAGACATGGCCATTTATGCATCCTGTTACCAAGGCCCGGTTTGCAGCAGAGCTGCAGATAGGGGTGTGTGCTGGGGGGAAGCTAAAGGGCTTTGGGCTAAACTCAGAAAGTGTCACCCTCAGCTCCCAGCGCTAAGTAGGGCAATGCAGGCTCTGTCCATGAGGTGGGACTCTGGGTCTGTCTCTTTGGCGGCTCCTTTTCCCTCATCCCTCCCTTCTTTGCCCAAACCTCCTACTGTGCTCCCATACCACCTGCCGAGCTCAACCACCACCCAAACCTGACCCAAGCCCCCCACACCAAGAGATCAGACCCTCAGCAATGAAGCCCTGGCTGGAGTGATGAGCAAAGTTCTCCTGGTGACTGGGGCATGTAGCCCTGAACCCCAGGCTTCCCCTCTCTCCCCATGTGAACCATCTCTCTACAGCTGCCAGACCAAGAATCAGAAACCCGTCTCTGATTGGCTAGGTGCTGTGGCTCATGCCTATAATCCCAGCAATTTGGGAGGCCAAGGCGAGCGGATCACCTGAGGTCAGGAGTTCGAGACCAGTCTGTCCAACATGGTGAAACCCCATCTCTACTAAAAATAAAAAAAAATAAAAAAAATAAAAATAAAAAAAAGCTGGGCATGGTGGCAGATGCCTGTAATCCCAGCTACTCAGGAGGCTGAAGCAGCAGAATTGCTTGAACCTGGGAGATGGAGGTTGCAGTGAGCCGAGATCGTGCCATTGCACTCCAACCTGGGAATAAGAGCGAAAATCTGTCTCTAAAGAAGGAGAAAAAGAGAGAAAGAAAGAGAGAGATAGAGGGAGGGAGGGAGGGAAGGAAAGGAAACCCTTCTTTGATCGCTGTACACTCCCCAAGTCACCTGGTGACCCATTGTCTTTGGCAGAATAAAGTACAAGTTTCCTGCTCTCACATTCGAGGTCCTCCCCGATTCGACTCCCTAACCCACCAACCTCCACTTTCCCATGGCTGCTGCATAGGTTTATACAGGTTACAACCTGCACAACCTCAGGGACGCTACTTACATAGTCACAACCTGTGCAGCAGCCCTGCAGGGAGGCTCTTCATGGACCCCATGGCCACGTTTAAACCACTATCTACTCATTTTTCCACACCACCTTTGCAACACTTTCTTCCCAACTTTTGTGCTGTTCCCTACATCTATCTTCTAAGAGTCAGTCAAAATACCACCACCTCCGTGAAGCCCACGGGGATCCTCCCACCTTCCTCTGAGACTCCCTGTGCTCCATTGCCCCTGGCTTGTAGTTCACTGGGGTGTGTGACTCATCTGCCCCTCGCTCCCACTAGACCCAGTTTCTGAAGATCTGAGACAGGATCATTGTGCCCCTGCTGCCCAGTACAGGGTCTGGTACTTAGTGGGTAACGAATCCAAGTCCATAGACTTAAAGCGTGTGCACATGTGGGGCTGGTTCTGCACCATATGTGTCTCTCCAGACAAAAGGGAATGTATTGTTGATATGTGTGAGTCGCTGTAACTGTGTGTGGTTCGGGGCCACACACATCGTTTGTATTGTATTTATTTCCAGATATTTATGAATGACTCACTCTGACCACCAGGGCATGCTCTGTCTCTGTGCCTGTGCCCATAGAAAGTGTTCTATGCATGCGTGTCACTGACTCAGTCTCCCTCTCGCCACAAGGGGTCGGTGTGCTGTCCAAGTGGGATGGCTCCCAGTGTTCAGGTCTTCAGAGTCAGTGGGGTGTGGCATCCGGGCAGTGCCAGGCAGAAGGGGTTCCACCCCGCCCCCCATCCCACCCCAGGAACTGACCGGAGAGGCTTTCTGCAGAGCCGCCCCTTCCCCAAGGCTCCCATTCCAGCCCCAAACAAAGCCTAATTTGTAGGTCTGTGTGCAGACACATGCTGGGACAGCCAGGCACACAGCCTAGAGTTTGGCTCGAATTCCTTCCTTCTGCCTGGGATGTGGGGGTGGGGAGGAGAGTCCACTCCCTGCACATCCTTTTCCCACACCAGAGCAAGCAAGAGTTAGACTTCCCGGGTTCCAGTGCCTCTTCCCATTTCCTTATGTGTATGGCTTTGAGTGAAGGCCTTCTCTCTGAGCCTCAGTTTCAGCATCTGTAAAACAGGAATAATGAATGCCGTTTCTCAGGGTGGTTGCTGAGAGATGGTATGTAAAAGGCTTAGAAAAGTGTCTGTCCCAAAGCTGTTATCAATGCTGTTGCTATTTATTGCAGGTCTGTTATTACTGCAGGCTTCCACCCTATCACCAAGATCAGACCACCCTGCAGCAGCTGGGGGTGGAGTAAACCTTTCCCAAGGCATGCAGGGCTAGATAGGTCCCTACATGCATAGAAGAAACACCTGCACGCCCTGGTGTCCCCCTCACCCAGCTCTGGAAGTCCCCACTGCTGTCTGACCTGTGGTGCCTCTATCTGCAGTATGTGCATGAGGGAGGTGTGGAGGACCTGGTGAGGCCCCTGCTGGCCATCCTGGACAGGCCTGAGAAGCTGCTGCTGCTGCGGGACATCAGGTGGGAGGAGGTTGCAGAGAGGGCTTGGGGGCAGAAAGGGGATCCCTGGTACCACCCCCAACTTCCCAAGGGCTGAAGGGCATCCTGGCACCTCTAGAACTGACACCCTGCCTGCCCCTCCCACCCCTGCTGTCTCTCACCCTCTCCCAGGAGTGTGGTGGCCCCCACAGACCTGGGCCGCTTTGACAGCATGGTGATGCCTGTGGAGCTGGAGGCTTTTGAGGCCCTCAAGAGCAGAGCAGGTCAGCAGTGGGAGGCGGGACTTCTGGGTCCCAGCCCTGCTGGGGATGGGGATGGGACCCCGTGGTGGAGAGGGCTGCAGAGATTGCCGAGCCCCTTGAGCTGTGTCCCTCTGGGAGCCTGGCGGGGTGCCTTGCCTCTGACCTGTTCATCTTTCCAACCAGTCCGGCCTCCTGCTTTGAGACCAGCCCGGCAGGACACACCGCCCAAGCGTCACCTTATCACCCCCGTGCCTGGTCAGTCAGATCCCAGAGCCCAGGGAGGGGCACAACCCTGGGGAGATTAGGGAAAGGAGGATGGGCCTTCTACTTCTTTCCCCATGGGGAGGCAGTTGTGGCTTCCAGGCACATTGCGGTCCCCTGAAGGAAAGCTCTTGTCCACCAGAGCCATTTTATCACATCCGCTGGTCACCACCTGTACTATTATTTACTTAATAGTTGGTTTGAAACCTGCTCACTTTTAAAATCTAGTCTCATTCTATGCAGTAATCTCTGAGAAATTACGTTTGATGTGCTAGTCATCTTTTTTCTTAGATACATTAAAATAGAATTGTAACGATTCCAACAGGAAGTATTAAAATGCAATTCTAGGCCGGAAGCGGTCGCTCATGCCTGTAATCCCAGCACTTTGGGAGGCTGAGGCGGGTGGATCGCTTGAGGTCAGGGGTAGAGACCAACCTGGCCAACATGGCGAAACCCCATCTCTACTAAAAATACAAAAATGAGCTGGGCTTGATGGCGCACGCCTGTAATCCCAGCTACTCGGGGAGACTGAGGCAGGAGAATCGCTTGAACCTGGGAGGTGGAGGTTGCAGTGAGCCAAAATTGCGTCACCGCACTCCAGCCTGGGCGACAGAGTGCGATTCCATCTCAAAAAAAAAAAAAAAAAAAAAGCGAGTCTAATAGAACATGTTTGTCCGCCTACCCCATGGGTGGGCCGCACTGCACTGGTTCCTGAACAAACTCGGGCCTGGTTCTCACAGGCCCCACACAAACCAAAGCAAGGCCTGGGTCCTGGAGAGGTGGTCCAAGCTGGGAGGGGAGGAGTGGGCAGCTGACCTTGGCGCTCTTCCCCAGACAGCCGCGGAGGCTTCTACCTGCTGCCGGTGAACGGCTTCCCGGAAGAGGAAGATGATGGGGAGCTGAGGGAGCGGCTGGGGGGCCTCAAGGTCTCCCCGAGTGCCTCTGCCCCTCGCCACCCTCATAAAGGGATCCCCCCTCTCCAAGACGTGCCAGTAGATGCCTTCACCCCCCGCCGAAGTGCCTGCACACCCCCTCCCCAGCCACCCCCTGTGGCTCCCCGGCCCCTGCGGCCTAACTGGCTGCTGACAGAACCCCTGAGCAGAGAGCACCCTCCACATGGCCAGGTCCGGGGCCAGGCTCAGAGCCGCAGCCGCAGCCGCAGCCGCAGCCGCAGCCGCAGCAGCAGGGGTCAAGGCAAGTCTCCGGGTAGACGCTCCCCGTCCCCTGCGCCTACCCCTGCCTCCAGCATGGCCAATGGGCGCTACCACAAGCCTCGGAAGGCCAGGCCCCCTCTACCACGATCTCTGGATGGGGAGGCAGCCAAGGTGGGGGCCAAGCAAGGGCCCTCGGAGAATGGAACTGAGGGGACGGCGGAGGAGGCAGCCACGAAGACCCCCAGTGGCGAGCTGAAGACAGTGACGCTGTCCAAGATGAAGCAGTCCTTAGGTGAGTCCAGGTGGGCCTGGGCCTGGCAGGGGACACTAGGAAGCCTGGGCCCAGGAAAAGAATCTGGGGTATTGAGCCAGGCGCGGTGGCTCACGCCTGTAATCCCAGCACTTTGGGAGGCCGAGGCTGGTGGATCACTTGAGGTCAGGAGTTCAAGACTAGCCTGGGCTACATGGTGAAACCCCGTTTCCACTAAAAATACAAAAGAATTAGCTGGGCGTGGTGGTGGGCGCCTGTAGTCCCAGCTACTCAGAAGGCTGAGCAGGAGAATCACTTGAACCCGGGAGGCAGAGGTTGCCGTGAACCCAACTGAGATTGCGCCTCTGCACTCCAGCCTGGGCGACAGAGTAAGACTCTGTCTCTGCCAGGCGCGGTGGCTTACACCTGTAATCCCAGCACTTCGGGAGGTCAAGGAGGGCGGATCACCTGAGGTCAGGAGTTCCAGACCAGCCTGACCAACATGGAGAAACCCTGTCTCCACTAAAAGTACAAAATTAGCCGGGCATGGTGGCACATGCCTGTAATCCCAGCTACTCGGGAGGCTGAGGCAGGATAATCGCTTGAACCTGGGAGGCAGAGGTTGCGGTGAGCCGAGACTGTGCCATTGCACTCCAGCCTGGGCAACAAGAGCGAAACTCCGTCTCAAAAAAAAAAAAAAAAAAAAAAAGGCTGTCTCAAAAAATAAATAAAAGGGAATCTGGGGTATTGGGGTATATCTGGGTGGGGTCTAGATTTGAGGGGCTAGGCTCTGGAGGATTTTAGAATGAATTGAGATTTGAGTAGTAACAGAATGTAGGGATGTGGGAGAAGTTGGGGCCTTGGGTTTGAGGATGGGATTCTAGGTTTCTCCAGGGAGCTTGCATTTTGGGGTCCGGCTGCACTCTCACAGTGTTTCTCCCCATCACTAGGCATCAGCATTTCTGGGGGCATTGAGTCCAAGGTGCAGCCCATGGTGAAGATAGAGAAGATCTTCCCTGGGGGGGCCGCCTTCCTCAGTGGGGCCCTGCAGGTGGGTGAAGCATGCCCAGGCCCACCCTAACAGCCCACAGCTGAAACCAGGCAGGAGATGGGCTGGCCATGCTCAGCTTCCAGCCAGACATGTTTAGCCCAGGTTGTGGGAGGAGGCTTGGGGTGAGGGGGTTCAGATGAGCAGGATGAGCAGGCCCAGGGAAAACTCTGTCCCCTCATGCTAGCCTGAGCCTGAGCCCCAAGGGACAAAGAGCCCTTGTCTGTGCCCCACCCTGCCCCCAACGACTCCAGGCACAAAAGTCTCATTGTCCATCCCCTCCACCCAGATGGGGGAGGAGTGTCCTCGTGGGTGGAGGTGAGAAGATGCTGCCTTCAGGTTGGGGGCTGGTGCAGGGTGACATGGGGAGGGAGGGATGTGACTCTCTCATTCCATCCTAGGCTGGTTTCGAGCTTGTGGCAGTGGATGGAGAGAGTCTGGAGCAGGTGACCCACCAGCGTGCAGTAGACACTATCCGTCGGGCTTATCGAAACAAGGCCCGGGAGCCCATGGAGCTTGTGGTCAGGGTCCCCAGGCCCAGCCCACGGCCCTCACTCTCTGACTCATCAGCCCTTACTGATGAGGGCCTTCCTGCTGACCACTCGCCTGCCCACCAACCCCTTGATGCTGCTCCAGTTCCTGCCCACTAGCTCCTAGAACCTCCCACCAATCCCCAGACTCCTCCCACCGATGCCAGGCTCCTCCAGCCAACTCCCAGCCCAGCCCCCTCCCCAGCCCTCCAGACTCCTGATTCTAAGCCTACACCCTCCCCACACATCCCATGACCCTTCCCCTAACCTCAGATTCCCCCACTGACTCCAACATCCCATTATCCCCAGGATCTCTCCTACCAACTTCCTCAGGACTCTCCGGCTCCTGCCTGCCCACCCTTCCTCCTCCCAGTGCCACACTGGTGGCTCACATCTTTCCACTTTCTTCCTTCCTCAGCTGTCACTAAGGCTCTGCCTTAGTGTCCAAGGACAAGGTGCCAGTGGGCAGCCTGTGTCACCCGCACTCACGACTCCCCTATCTCCCAAGCCAGGAAAGGGGGTAAGAAACCCAAGGTCTGGACCTTGGGATTGGTGGGCATTTTCCCACACGCCGCCTCTTACTTTGTAAGTCATCCAAGCCTCCAGGGACACAGGCTGTCAGACAGGGCTCTCAAGGGGTCAATGTATCCATTCCTTAGCCCCAAGCAGCATTCTGTGCAAGGAAAAGGATTAAAGGCTTTTCTAGTCCCTGAAATCCTGAGAGATCATTTCATGTTGGGGTCCATTAAGACCTCAGACATTCTACTGGATTTGTCCTTCCTCCATCACCTTTTCTCCCCAAGAGAGCTCGGGGAATAGCCAGCAAATAGAGGGGGTGTGGGTCAAACAAGTTCCTATACTCTTTATCCAGCGCATTCACATTATTTTTAAACAAAAAAAATTTTTTTTTAATTTTTTCTTTGGGTTTGTACAAGAAATTTACAGTGTGAAAAATATACAAGTGAAAACGAGGCCATAAACCTGGGTGAAGGGAGAGGCTGCTTGGTCACAAACACAAATAAACAAGACATTTCTGAGTTCTTCCTTTGGTCTGACTTCAGCCCCCTCACTCCAGGAGAGAGGCTGCAGAGCTCGAACCTGGGAACCGAGCCCAGGCCCGGCCCTGTCCCCCAATATGGGCAGGCACATCTGGAGCAGCTGGTGCCATCTGGCTTTCTCTGGCTTCGGGGTCAGGGGGAATGTGGAGAGGAGGGAGCCCCTTCTTCCTCCTAGCTCCCCTGGCTGGAGTGGGCTGGAAGCGCCTGTGAACAGGGTTGGCAGTGGCACTGGCAGCAGTGGAGAATAAAGTGGGTAGTGACAGGAGCCTCTGGGTGACAGTGAACACGGGGACCTTCGAGCGGTCTGATCTCGCTCCTCCAAGTCATACGACCATCCCAAGTTCCTGGCAGAAGCCCAGAGGCCTGGATCCTAGGAGACAAGTGGCTTTGGGGCCCTCAGCTTTTGGGGTCATCCGTGGGCCCTGGGGCCTAAGTGGATCTGCAGCTGCTGCCCCTCTGGCAGAGCTAGAGCTGGGTGCCGAGGGCCCTAGATCTCAGTAGCAGTGATCTCCTCCAGGCAGATGCAGGGGGCCTGCTCAGCCAGGCCCAGCTCCGCAAGCTCCCGGGCCTCCAGCTCCAGGCTGAGCTGCTGCAGCTCCTGCTCTAGCTGCCGGTTGCGCCGGTACATCTGGATGTAGTTGTGCTGCAGCTGCTTCTGGTAGCGGATCACCTGCTCCTTCTCTGCCTGCCAGGCCAGCCGCTCCCCTTCAAAGCTGTCCCGCTGCTCCTCACCCCGCCGCCGCTCCCGCTGCAGCTCCACCCGCAATCGCTCCACCTGGGCCCGCAAGCTGCCCCCAACCCCGGCTGCTGCCCGCTGCACTTTGGCCTCATCACTCTCTGCCAGGAGGAATGGGTCAGCGGTGGCAGGTGGCACAGCGGGCTCCCGGAGTCCAGCCGCCTCAGCATCCAACTGCCCAGCTTTCTCCCGCAGCCGCTCGGCTTCCTGGCGGTGTCGCTGCAGCTCCTGGGAACAGGCTTCCAGCTCCAGCTCCCGAGCTCGGGCGGCCTCCTGTAGACCCCGCGCACGGCCCTCACTGACCCGCAGGGTAGCACGGGCCTCCCGCAGTGCCACTCGCAGGGCCACCAGCTCGCTGCCCTTCTGCACCAGCTCTGCCTGAGACTCCTTCAGCTGCTGCTTCAGCAGGGAGATCTCGCCTGATTTCTGGCACACCTGGGGGTGGGAGGCAGTGGGGAAGGATGGTGAGACAGGTTCTCCTGGGGGGACAGGCCCTGTGCATCATGCTGGGCATTCGGGAGGAGAGTCCATCTTTATCCCCATTTTACAGATGGAGACACTGAGGCAAGTCTAGTGACATGTCCAAGGTCATAGAGTGAAGATGTGGCTTAAGTGGAAAGCAGACATAGATTTTTTTGCTTCAAAGTTGGTGTCTTCAAAGCATCACGAGACACTGGAAGTACCACCGAGCCCTGGGGACTGGGTGCTGGCAGGTGCTGCAGGAGTGGGGGCAATGGAGGGCAGTACCCAGGTGTCTACTGGAGAGGTACTACAGTGACTTGGTTAAGAGCTCAGATATTGGAGCCAGGCTGCCTGGGTTCAGATTTGGCACTTCAGTCTTTCTGGGCCTCAGTTTACTCATCTCTAAAATGGGGAGACTAGTGGTAGCCCCCTCAGTGTTGTTATAAGGATGAAATGATCTGTCCCATGTAACATGCTTAGAAGAGTGCCTCCACACCACAAACACCACATTCTTACTACTGGCTGGAGCGTGGCTTTGTGCCACTAGACAAGGCCAACAAGGAGACCCTCCTCCCAGAAAGGAACAGAGGAGAACTTCATCTCACGGAGGTGAGGAAGGGGAGGACCTCTGGGGGTGGCAGGCTGAGGGAGGGTGCGGCTGGGCCCCTTTTTCCAGGGTTTCTCCCTGTGTGACCCTGCTCCCTGCCCCTCCTGGTCTGGCCCACCTCCCACTTGGTCTCCTCAAGCCTTGGCCCGAGCTCCCGCTGCTCCCGCTCCAAGGTGGCGCAGCGCCGCTCCAGCTGTTCACGCTCCTGCAGCAGCTGTGCGAAGTCATCCTGCAATTGCCGCTTCTCCTGCTGCAGCTGGAACACCTGCAGCTGCAGCAGCTGTTGGGCCCGCTGTGCCCGCTGTGCCTGGGCTGCACAGTCCTCTCGCAGGGCCTCGCGCTCTCGCTGCCAGTGCCGCTGCCGCTCCTCGTATGCCTGCAGGCGAGAAGACAGACCCAGCTCCTGGGCAGTTTTCCCAACTCCCCACTCAGTGTCTGCTCTGGCGGCCCACTTCTGAGGGCTCAGGAAGGGTGTATTCCATCAAACAACAATAGTAATTGCAATAATACTAACTGCTTTTATGATGATCATAGAAACAAACACAAGAGCAAGCAGACCGGGCTCGGTGGCTCACGCCTGTAATCCCAGCATTTTGGGAAGCCGAGGTGGGTGGATCACTTAAGCTCCGGAGTTCGAGACCAGCCTAGGCAACACAGCAAAACCTTGCCTCTCCAAAGAACAAAAATTAGCTTGGTGTGGTGGCGTGTGCCTGTAGTCTCAGCTACTTGGGAGGCTGGGGTGGGAGGACTGCTTGAGTCCAGGAGGTTGAGGCTACAAGGAGCTGAAATTGCGCCACTGCACTCTAGCCTGGGTGAGAGAATGAGATCCTGTCTCGAAAAAAAAAAAAAGCACTTGGCCGGGTGCAGTGGCTCAGGCCTGTAATCCCAGCAGTATGGGAGGCCGAGGCGGGTGCCTCACTTGAGGCTAGGGGTTCGAAACCAGCTTGGCCAACATGGTGGGAACCCCGTCTCTACTAAAAATCCAAAAAAAAAAAAAAAAAAAAAGCAAGCATTTATGTATAGCATTTCCTAGATACCAGGCATTAGTCTAAGCACTTTACACCTTTTGCCTTATTTAATCCTCATAACAATCCTATGAAGCTAGAAATATCCCTGTTATAGATGAAGAAATAGAGGCTGAATAAAGTTAAGCAACTTGCTCAAGCCCAAAAACTGGTATTTAGCAGTGGGAGGTTTGAATCCATGCACTCTGACTCCTTTCCACCCAACAAGTTTTGTTTTTTGTTTCTTGTTTTGAGATACAGTCTTGCTCTGTTACCCAAGGCTAGAGTGCAATGGCAAAATGTCAGCTCACTGTAACCTCCTCCTCCTGGGCTCAAGTGATCCTCCTACCTCAGCCTCCCAAATAGCTGGGACTACAGGTACATGCCACCACACTCAGCTAATTTATTTTTAGGAGAGATGGGGTTTCCCCATGTTGCCCAGGCTGGTCTCAAACTCCCGAGCTCAAGCAATCCGCCCACCTCGGCCTCCCAAAGTGCTGGGATTACAGATGTGAGCCACCACGTCTGGCTATTCCACAAATTAAACCAGACAACTGGTGGGGAGGGCAGGGGGGTCACAACTACAACTACCCAACCCCTCTTCCCTGCTAAAATGGAAATGCCCCTTTCATTCCCCAGGCCTTGGGATGTCCTGCCATGCCCCTTCCCCATCATTGCCTCTGACCACACCTGGCACATGGTAGCCTCATTCTCGTCCAGACTGTCCCGCAGCTGCTGAAGCTCTGCCTCCCGCTCTCGGAGCTTTCCTTCCAGGACACAGTGCAGCAGGGCCTCGTCGGAAGGAGGTGGAGGCGGGGGTGGTGGTGAGCGCTCCCCACAGGAGCTGCTGTCAGGGGAGGCCCGGGTACCACTGCCCAAAAGCCCGGCAGCCACACGGCCCCCCAGGGAGCCTGTGCTCTTGCTGGAGGAGGACCGGCCACTGTCTGAGTGGGAGGGCCCAGTAGGGACCCCTCGGGCTGGCCCAGGCAGTGCCCCTCGCCCAGAGCCATGGGAAGGCAGGTGCCCGCCTGGGGAGCTGGTGGTTGGCTCGGCACCTCCGGTGCTGTAGGTGGGCAGGCTGGACAGTGAGTTTCGGCCAGAGTCGGATAGCGTCCCTGATGGGCAGCCACTGGCCCAGCCACTAAATGCCAGGGGTTTGTCAGCAGCTGAAGAGGAGGAGGAAGAAGAGGAGGAGGAGGCAGGGCCCCCAAACAGCTGCGTCAGGCTGCCCTGGCTCCCAGACAGCCCGGTGGCCCGAGGACCCATGAAGCTAGGCAGGGACGGAGCCCCTCGAGGTTTGGGCAGCACTGGCTTGAAGGCTGTTGGGCGGATCAGGATCTTCTCCATGTTCTGAAATGAGGTGCCATGTGACAGTGGAGATGAGCTGCCCAATCTTGCAGAACCCTTATGACACTCCCTGCCCTCCCATCTGGGGTTCCCAATGCCCATATATTCGTAACAATTGCGGCCACTGGTGGAGGTGGCCACCAGTGTCAGCTTTGTGTCAAGCAATCTGAAAGGTTTATCCCCATTATCTAAATATGATCACTATTCTCATATTACAGATGAGGAAATGGAGGCTCAGCAAGGTTAAAGGCCTTGACCAAAGCCAAACATGTAACTGGTGCAGAAATAACCAGAACATAAGCAACTAGCACTTAACAACTGTATACATGCTACATGCTAGGCACTATGCTATACATTATTTGACCTTCACGTCAGTTCTAGAAACTGAGGCTCAGGTTAAGTGACTTCCCTGAGGTCACACATGCAGAATGAGAGAGAGCTGGGATTAGGACCCAGGTCTGGTGAATCTGGAGCCCACACTCTTTCCTCTATATAAGCTTCTAAATTCCAGTTTTCCAAGGGGGACTCCCGTTCTACCCAGGCCCACAAGGAAGAGCTGGTCCTCACCTTCTCCAGCTTTCCAGAGACAGGGATGAGCTTCGGTGGTGGGCCGCGGAGGTGGGCATTGTGTGCCCGCTGCTCTCGGGCATCCTCAACATCACTGCTTGGGCTAGGGGGTGATTCTGTCCGGAAGTCCTCATTGATGTAGGTGAAGCTGGTGACAGGGACAGCCTTCCTAGGAGGCACAGCTGGGCACAGCGGCTCCTGTGCCTCATAGCCACCCCGCAGCAGGCCATCCTGCTGGCGGAAGAAGGTGGGCCCAGGAGGGCCGTGGTGGCGGGGAGGAGCTAGACCCCCGGGACAGGGCCGGCCTGAGATAAGGCTGCTCACACTGCCCATGGCTGGAGCTTGTGGGGCAGTGGCAGCTTCAGGAGCAGGCTCCAGTGGCACTGGCAGAGTCTGCACAATGGCCATGGTGGCAAAGGCTCAGGCCTGGCCAGCGGCCTCGCAGGTGACCTGTAAGCAGGGCAGTGGTGTCAGAGTCCTTCCACCTAGAGACCCCTCCTGACCCACTGATCCTGACCAAACACCTCCTTGACATCAGTAACAAGCCTTGATCCCCACCAAGACTCCCCCTTCAAGTGCTGGAATGAACCTCAATTCCCCCTGGGCCCCAGACCACACTGTCCAATGCTGGTGTGAACAGGGCTGAGGATTGAATCCACTCAGCAGAGATGCTGAGAGGGCTGGGAGGCATGGGTGATTACTGCAGAGCCACTTGTCAGCAAAGACCCAGGCCTAAGCCCAATCCTGCATCCCACAGAGGCCAGGACTCAGGTGACGGAGGGGCCTTCTCTACCAGCTTGAAGCACAGGTCCCTGGTCCTCTAAGTCAGGTGGGCAGTTTGGTTGAGGTACCTCAGGGGTGCAATCAGCACCTCAGATGGTAATTAGGGAACAAAGAGCCAAAGTCAGTCAGTGCCCTGCCTCCCTCTGCTGGGCCTCAGTTTCTCCCAGACAGTGAGGCAGCTAAACTGCCTCTCTGTGGATCCGGCTAAATAAGAAAACCACCACTCTTAGGGAGTCCACAGGTGTCCTTTGGGGTCTCCTGCCTCCCAGAGGTAGATGCAGGCTCATACATTTTCCATGACAACTCCTAGCCTCTGCACACCCAATCAGTGAGGCCTAAAGGAACCTCCACAGGCTCTACCCCATTGCCAACCTCTCTGAAACCCTACAGCTTCAGAAGGTCCCCAGACTAACCCTGAGGGGAGGAAGGTAGAAGTCCCGCCTTCACCTCTAGTGGCTGCTCCAAAACCTCACTTCCACAGAACCCAGGCAAGACGGCTCCACCTCCCCAGGCCCTGCTCCTTCCTGGAAGCAGCTGCAAGTCTCCACCCGGAACCCCCTCCCTAGTTCCAGTCCCGAGGCCGCTGATGACCAGGACTTAGGCATCTGCTGAAGTCATCATGCAGAGCAGGGCCAAGAACTGGACAGAGAATTGCACTGGGAGTAGGAATGTGTGCATTTAGTTATTTGTTGTGTGACTACATGCACAGGAGCGTGGAAATGAACACGTGTATATGAAAATGTGCGTGAAAGCATCGTGAATGTGAGTCTACACATGTTTGATGTATCAGTACATTCACATACATGAGTTCATGTGTGAATTCACATGTGTATATCTTACAAGAGTATGTGGGTAAGGGGTCATTAGAAAGCCTGTGAAAGTTATAAATGCGGATCTAACAAGTGAGTTTGTGGTGTGTGGGAGAGACGGTGCCTGGACAGCTTTGTCAGTAAGTTCATGAGTTTATGTGTGATCTCCTATGTATGTGTGCGACTAGGAAGGTGAGTGCACCAGGGTATAGAGGAACCTGTGAACGTGGGCACGCAGGTATGAGAGTGGTGGGAGCCTGGGTGGCTTGAGGGCCCATTGGTGGGGGGAGCCTGTTTCCTTCCCTCTCTGGCATGTGGGGAGAGGTGGGACATTATCTAACTCCTTTGCCTGATCTGTTCCCCTTCTTTCTCGCATGCGCTCCATTAAATCCACCGCCCTCCTTCCCACCCAAGTCAAAAGATACTGCGAACCAGGAAGAGGTGTCCAGGCAGGGGCAGGAGCTGCGGGGAGCTGGGGGAGGGGTAGGCCGGGCGCAGGGAGCGATCACAGGCCCCTCTGCAGGGCGGGGGCTCAGACCACCCCACACATCCCAGCGCCCAGCAGAGCAGATAGAGAAACCCTTCCCCTCCCCTCTCTGGGCCCACTCCAGGGCGTGGAGTGAACAGTGGGGAAAGGACTTCTTAGGGGACCAAGGGCTGGCACCTCTGTTGCATTTCCCCACTTCAGCGAGCACGGAGAAAGTGAAAACTGAAGGAAGGAGACAGGCTCAGAGAAAGACAGGGACCCAAAAGAGACAAAGACTTGGAGAAGCCCGAGGGTCAGGCCGACAAGGAGACAGTCAGGCGTACCCAGTGAGCCAGGGCCCCCAACCCCACGGAGCCGAGGGCCCCTAAGTCCAAAGTGCCACAGAGCTGGGCCCTGAGAGCCACACGCCCAGGGAGCCAGAGCCAGGAGTCTGGAAAGCCAGGCCCAGCCAGCCCGGCTCCCGCTCTTGGAGAGAAGGAGGGGCAAGTGGAGGCTCCATTTTGAGAAATGCGTTTGTGGCTGTGGGAGATGGGAACCCCTCATTCTCCCCAGCACTCCCTGAGCAAGCACTCTGGCCCAGGAGCACCCCCCTTTTAGCGGGCTGAGGGGAGCTGAGGGCTGGAGCTGGTTCAGGGCCGGCGAAGGATCTGGAGTTGGGGAAAGTCTCCCTGCCACCCAAACTCCAAGGACCAGTCAAGCGGGGTCAAGTCTGCGATCACGAGTTCCCATTCGGCGGCGGGAAGCCGGGAGCCCCCGATCCATCCTCCAGAACCCAGCCCCCCTTCCACAAAGTGGGGGCGTCTGGAGAACGCTGTCTCCCGGCTGGACTCCACCGCGCAGAAGTTGGGGACTCCCCAGGCCGCCTCCCAGACCCGGCCCCCCCTCACCTCCGCCGCGCTGCTCCATGCTCAGCCCTAGGCCGCCCC